GAGAACCTCGAGAGGGCGGTCGGCGGCGGCGGCAGAAAGAATATATAGAATTGTGCAAAACCATTTGGTCATACCTCTCAAGTCCTGCCTAGGCCCTAGCCCTAGGCTGTTGGTCCCGCGGGCTCCGGCCGCAAGCTGGCAGCTACCCAGCTGCTCGCGTAGGCGTATTCCTACGAATCATAGGCAGGGCGGCAGGGTCCCGACTTCACGCAGGCCTGCGGGAGGCACCTCTATCGGGCCTCGACCGCCACGGCTTGCCCCCTGCTCTAAACGCGCCCCGCCACCTCGCCGGGCTCTCGCCTCACTCGCTCCCCATGAGCTTGAACGCCGCACCGGAGAAGCAGCCACACAAGTCAGCTTTGGGAGCTCTCGGCGACGCCCAATGCGTGCGCCGGTAGGGGGGAGTGTGTGCGCGCGTGTGTGAGATGAGGATTGTGGCAGGCTGGCTGCTGCTGATGTGGGCAAGTGTGCTCTGTGTGCAGCGCTGCGCTGGCGTGCGACGCGCGCGTGCTGTGCGCGTGTGCGTGTTGGATGCGCGTGCGCGTCTGTGTGTGCTGCGCGCGCGCCGCCGTGTGTGCTGTGTGCTGTACTCTGTTGTGCGCCTGTTTGTGCAGCTGGGAGGTGCAGGCTTGGCTGGCAGGGCTGCGCGGCGGGCTGCGGCGCGCTGCGGGTGGTTGTGCGCCTGCCTGGTGGTGTGCGGCGGCCGCTCAGCCCGCCCGACCGGGTCGTCGGCGGCCCAGGGCGCGGGCATGCGGTCTGCGCTGCATGTGAGGCTGCTGCGCGGCTGGCGCGTATGTTTCCGTGCGGTGAGGGACGCGCGTATGTGTTCACGCTGCGGGCGCGGGCGGGCGCGGGGGGCGGCGTGGTCTCACCGCGGTCCGACGTCGGTTGGTCTTCGGCGTGGCGAGGGCGGGCGCGCAAAGAGCTTGCCGCCATCGCGTTGCCGAAGAGTGGGAGATCAATCCCCGGGCAGCGACGCCCCCCCCCGATTGAGACCAGGGGAGGTCGAAAGCGGCAACCCGGCTGCCCGAAGCGTGAATGACACAATGCGAGATTGGATCTCGTGGGTGCGGGGCCGCTCACGCAAAGCGGGCACCGCACACGACGTGAGCGGTCTGGCCGCGCACGTTCATGATCTCGTCGCGAAGTTTGAAGAACCGCGTCGAGCTCGCGAGCGGCTTCGTAAGGAAGTCGCTCACATTGCCTTCGCCCTCGATCCAGGGGACGCGAATCTCGAACTTCTCCACCATGTCGCGCACGAAGAAGTGACGCCGCTCGACGTGCTTCATGCGACCGTGGTGTTCGGGATTGTAGGCGACGTCGCGCGCGCCCTTGTTGTCGGTGCTGACCTCCGAGGGACCGTCGACGGCGCCGGGGTCGAGGTCGGAGACCAGACGGCGAAAGTAGACCATGTCCTTCGTCGCCTCGGACAGCGAGATGATCTCAGCCTCGCACGACGAGAGGGCGACGCAGGGCTGCTTTTTCGACCCCCAATTGATCGTAGCTCCCTGCCACTTGACGAACCATCCCGATGTGCCGAAGGTCGTAGACAGGTTCGCGTCGCTGCATCCAGACAGTGCGGACGGCCCGGTGTCGTACGTGATGCCGAGGGACTTATGATAGTGGAGGTAGCTGAGGAGGGTATTCAGCTCGACGAAGAGGTCGGGCGTGGGCCTCGACATGGCGCTGCACAGGCGGAACACCGGGTACGCGATGTCCGGGCGCGCGCCACACGCGGCATACATGAGCTGGCCAAGGCACTGTTGGAATGGCTTGACGAGCTCGGGGTAGTCTGGCGACGTGGTCGACTGCTTGAGCGCCTCGTCGAGGCGGGCCTGGAACTGCCGCGAGTAGGGCAGGCTGTTGTCCTGCACGCGCGGGAGAGGACCGCCTGGAAGCCACTTCGCCAGCACCTTCTCCACGTACTTCTCCATGTGGATGGTGACGGACCCGTTATCGTTGCGGACGACCTGCATGGCGAGAACGTCGTCGACCTCGCCCTCGTCGACGATGTCCCACTCGCTTTCGAAGGCAGCCTTGAACTTGGCATAGTACGAGTTGGGGTCGATGGCGTTGCCGTCTCCGTCTAGCTTACACGGTCTGGTCTGGACGGGGGCGGGCCGCACCCACTCGTCGGCGGCCCAGTACGAGGGGTGCCACGCGGCAGGTTCCCGCCCGGAGGGTGCGGTGCGGGAGGCCTTGGCGTCATCGGCGGAGCGCGCGTGGCCGTTGGTGCCGCCTGACGCCGCGCCGAAGGCTGTCTCGCCCTGATGTTCGGACGGGAAGCGCTTGATGACGGAGAAGGCGTCGGCGGCCCGGAAAGTCGGCACTTTGCGAAAGCCAAAGATGACGAGCTCGATGCCGCGATCGACTGCACAGGGCCCGTACGTGGCGACGACAGACCACCCGACGGCGACGGCGAGCTCGGCGGCGCGTCCGGCCCAAACATTGACGGTGCAGACGGCGAAAGCGAGGAAGAGGGCGGCGGCGACAAAACCGGCGCCGCCGCAGAAGCCAGCAAACGCCGCAAACATGCGGACGTCGTCGTTTTGCGCCCGGACCTCCGCGCCGAGCACTTGGGCGATGTCAAGGAGGTTGTCGTACGCGTTGCCGTCGGCGGCGCTGACGGCGACGGTGCTGTCGGTGCCATCGCAACGGGCGCTGCCATCGGCGAAGGAGAAGACATTGGCGGACTGGAGGGTCGGCGTCGCGTCGCCGCCGTCGCCACCGTCGTCGCCGCTCGGCTCGGCCGTGTGCGCCGCGAGGAGCTCGTCGAGGATCCCCTTGAAGCGGTCGTCCTCGACGTTGCACGTGTCGGTGATGGTGACGGACTTGCCATCGGCGCTGAGGGTGAACTGCTCGGCGTCAGCCTCGCCGCCGGGAGCGGAGGGGGCGCGGTTCGGGTCCACCGCAGTCTCAGCTTGCGCGCGCGCCAACTCTGCCTCGCGACCATCGAGGTCGCCGTGAGCCTCGTCATCGCAGCACTGGCAGGCGTCGACGGACTCCCACATGTTAGCGTTCTGCTTCTTGGCCTTGTTCTTGCCTTTGCCGCCGAAGAGTCGCCGTCTCAGCTCGGTGGCCTCAGCGAGCTTGGCAGGGTCGCAGCCGGGCTTGTTGAGCGGGCACTCGCCGCTCTCAAAGTGGTGCTTGCCGTCGCTCAAGCCAAGCTCCTTACAGACGCAGAGCTTCATGAACGAGCACCAGGTGAAGAACTTTCCCTCGCCGTCCTTGCAAGCGTTGATCGCGGCCCGCCGGACGTCGGCCTCAGCCTTCTTCTTGGCCTGCTCGGACGTCCCGTTCTTGTTGGGGTCGGTGGCGAGCTTGGCGTCGACGATCGCGGCGATCTGCTTGGACAGGTCCTTGTCGGAGGCCTCGGCAGCGAGGGCAACCTTGTTGGCAAGCCCGTCACGCAGCGCGTCTTGGGCGGCTCGACGGCGGAGGAAAGACTCTGCCTGCTCGACGTACCACTCGTAGGATACGACCTCGCCACTCTCCTTCTTGATGTACCTCTCGACCCTGATGTGGGTCCGCCAATCGTTGGAGATGTCGGGTTGAGTGACGAAGAGATGGTCGATCCTCTGTATCTTGGCGGTGTCGGAGGCGATGACGCGCAGAGCAGGTGGGACGCGCCGCTGCGTCTTCTCGAAGTCTCTTGTCCAGTCGTCGAACGTGTCATTGTTGAGAAGCGGAGGCGCGCCAGTGAGAATAAAGTTCGACGCGGCGTTGATCGCGATCGCGCTCTCTTCCTCGGTGTACTGGACGGTTGGAAGCTTCTGGAGGATGGCAATCCCGTCGTTCTCGCAGTCCCTGAAGAACCTCGTGAAGTGCGTAGGGAAGTCCTTGAAGCAGAGTTTGATCACGTCCGCAAGCCGCTGTAGCTCCATCAGCACGAAGTGCTCTTGCACGATGGTCTCTTTTCTCTCATCGGCATCGAGCTGTCGGGATGTGAAGGCTGGAGTGCTGGCTTGGAATGCGGCGCGCGCCGCGTCAGACTCGAGCTCGGTGAACTGAGCGGTCCGGTACGCGGTGTACGTCGCAATGCGCTTGGCCGACGGAGGGCAGGGCTTATCGTAGCCATACGTCTCGCCATCATCATAGGTGCCATTGACGAATAGTGCGGAGTCTTTGTCGGCGACTAGCATTTTGCCGTCGGGCTTCGCGACCGCGCGGTTTGCGAAGAGTGGATAGAAGAGGCGTTGGCGCTTGAGGGCATCGACTATGTCCTCTGCCAATCCGGCGAGCGCAGCAGGGTTGCCTTCGTACTTGATCGGTTGGTTGAATCGGTCGAGAAGCACTTTGTCGGCGGAGTGGGTGGTGTTGGGCTCATTAATATTCGTCTCCATGATGGAGACGCGGCGGCCCGAGACGGCCGCCGCTACCACGTGGTCGGGAGGCGGGTCCACAGCCGCCGTCCCAGGCGACGAGTCTGGGCAGTGCACGCAGAAGCGATCGCACACCCTTTGTTGACTACGTCGTTGAATGAAGATACGAACCCAATCCCCGATAATTGGGATCGGGTAATGACACACGAGAGAGCGTGAATGGGTAATGACACACAAGAGTGGGAGATCAATCCCCGGGCAGCGACGTATACACTCCGTGGTCCGAGCGAAGGCTCGACGTGAGTTCGGGTTGAACATTCTGTTCCGCTGTGGACACCACTTGAGACTTGTTGTGTTTTGGGGGTTTGTTGCCACTTACTTGTTCCGATGGTCCAGCGTCGGTTCACAGACCTTGTTATTGAGAAGAAAATACGTCGTGTGGCGGTGTGCGCTGGTCTATGAGAGGTGTTGAGGTGCGAGCCCTGTTCACACAACTATGCAGTTCGTCGTCTTTGGTTCTGTCCCGACGTGTTGTGGCCAGTCCTGGCCGCGTCCTGTGCCTATAGACGCGGCGCGACCCAACACATGCACGGCCCGGACATGACCGGCGTTCAGTTCTCGCTCATCAGCGCGCTACGGACCGGCCACTTTGCCGTTGACCTCGCCATCGCCCTGCTCGTTCCCATCATCATTAAGTTCTTCTGCGTCGATGCCGCCAGAATGGCTAGGCTAGTCTTCGAGCACCTCTACGCTAGAGCCAGGCGCGACGACCGATACTGTACGCGCACGATTTCGTGTGTCAGCGTCGGCTCGAGCGTGGCTGGCCGAGAGCACAAGAACAACGTGCTCCAGAAGGCAATCGCCCTGTATCTCACAGAAGTCAACAAGGGCCGCGGCTTTGAGCGGCAGGCACAGGTGGCCCTCACCGCCGTCCTGGACATGAGCATCGGGAGCGGTCCCGTGGACCGCTTCGACCCGCTGTCAAAATTTCGCCTCACGTGGCTGGCGCCCGAGAACACGTGGAGCGAGATCGAGGAGGGCTTGTGGTTCCAGCAGCGGACCACCAAGGACGGAGGCGACAACGAGGAGGGAGACAAGGCGACTCGCGAGCGCCTCACCTATGAGTTCCAGTGCAAGGTTGACGGCCCGGCAAAGATTGACGGCTTTATCGACCGTGCACTGGAGTGGTACAAGGCCGAGCTCCTTCGACTGAGGGATGACGCCCGCTATATGTACAACCTCGTCAGCACCACCTTGCTGACCACTCCCGAAGGGATGCCCGGCCGGCGCGGCGGCGTCGGCAGCGAGGCGGCGAACGGCTTCCGCTTCAAGAAGTACCGCCTCTCCGACCACAAGACCTTCGAGTCGCTCTTCTTGCCCGAAAAGGACGCCCTGCTCGGCCTGCTGGACGACTTCTCGGGCCAGACTGGCAAGTACGAGATAGCGGGCTACCCGCACAAGCTGGGCCTGCTGCTGCACGGCCCGCCCGGCACCGGGAAGACCTCGCTCATCAAGGCGCTCGCGCACCACACGCAGCGCTCCGTCATCAACATCCCGCTCTCGCGCCTCTCGACCAACCAGCAACTGATGGACATCATGTTCGACCTGCGGCTGAGCGTGGTGGCGCAGGACATGCCCGTCTCACTCACGTTCCGTGACGTGATCTTTGTGATCGAAGACGTCGACGCCGCGAGCAGCATCGTCCAGAAGCGCCACGCGACGCTGGCCGCACCAGCAGCCGCAGGTGCGCCGGGGGAGACGAGCGGGCCCACCCCCGGGTCCTCGGCAGTCAGCGAGAGGTCCGGCGCGGCAGAGCTGAGGACGCTCTTCAACGACGATCCAATCAACCTCGCCGGGCTGTTGAACGTACTCGACGGCGTAGTGGATACGCCTGGGCGCATTCTCGTGATGACGACCAACCACCCAGAGGCGCTGGATCCGGCGCTTATCCGGCCGGGTCGCATCGACAAGCAAATCTTGCTCGACTACATCCAAGCCGACGCTGCCGCGGCGATGCTGACACACTACTATTCCGCCACGCAGCTTGCGGCCGCGCAGCGGGCAAGGCTCGGCGCGCTGTTAGGCGAGGCAGGCATGAAGGCGCACGCGCCGGCGCGGGCTCTCAGGCTGACCCCCGCGGCGATGGAGCAGCTATGCGCCGAGCATGCGACGGTCGATGCGATCCTCGACTGCCTAGCCGAGCGCGCGCTGAGCTTCGCCGCGAGCGATCCGGTGACCGCTGCTGCGGGGAGTGACCGCGCCGACCCAACTCACGCGGGCGCGCCGACCGGTCGCCCGACCGGCGATGGCGACGAGAGCTTCGCGACCGGAGCGGCAGCAATTGTGCCGAGACGGGCGCAGTCGCACTGGGCTTGACGTGGGCTCGTTTAAAAGATCTAACAATGGATGTCACATATGCACAAATGTTTTTGTAAGAGCGCTGCGCTAGTCGCCGACCACACCCACAAAGAACCCTGCACAAAGATCGCACGGGCGGGACCTGTTCCTTTTTCCCCACCTCACAATGGAGGTGTCCGTTTTATATTTATTTCCACGAAAACGAACGCCACAGGCGGGCGTCGGGAGCGGCGACACCCTCATGCGGCGAGATTTAGCGGCTGGTGGCTCAGCCGCCACGTCCAGGCCAGGTAGGCCGAGATCGCGACCGCCGCGACGTGCCCGCCCGACAGCGCGCGGAGCAGCGGGTGCAGCGTCTGCCGCTTGATAAATGCCTTGATCGCGGCGACATCCGCGCCAACGATGGTGTGCACCTTGGCGCTGTTGCGGTAGAAGTGGAGCGTCGGCATCGATCGCACCTGCTGCTCCTGCGCCAGCTCGCGCGACTGGTCCACGTCCACCTTGACAAAGAGCACGCCGCCCTGCTTGCCGCCGCCACCCGGCCTGCCGCTCGGCCGATGCTTCCGCGCGAGCGCCTCGAGGACGGGACTGAGCTTCTTGCACGGGCCGCACCAGTGCGCGAAGTAGTCAACCACCACCAGGCGCGAGCCCGCCTCCTCGAAAACCTCTGACAGCTCCGTCTCGTCCTCGATGAGCCGCACCTCTGTCAGCGGAGGCTCCGCAATCTCGGTGGCCGCAGCACCACCACGCAGCAAGAGCGCGCGCCGAGATGTCATCAGCGCCAGAGCCGATGACGCGGGAGCGAGGAAGCATAGGAGCAGCGCGCTAGCCAGTCGAAGCATTCCGAGGTAGTAGGGCAGGTTTGTGCTGGGCGCACACCTTGCAGCGCGCGCAGTGGGTTCCAACTTTTTGCGGGGTATGGTAACACCCGAACTGAAAGAACAAAAAGAAAAGACGGGAGGCTGGCCCTCCCCCTCCTATCACCCAGCTGCTATCACCACGCTTCTCCTCTCCATCCTGATTTCACTGTGCTGGTCCTCGCACGCGGCGCTGGGCTCTCGCGCACGCGTCGCGTCGCGCGCCGTATCGCATCGCCGATTCCTCATGGCCGAGGCGGCGGCGGCGGCTTCACCGACGCCCGACGCAGCCGGCGAGGACACGCTCGTCCAGTTCATCATACTTCGCCGCGACCTCCTCAAGACGATGGAGTGGCCGGTGGGCTCGGTGGTCGCGCAGGCGTGCCACGCCTCGCTCGCTGTCATCTGGGAGAACCGCGCTGACGCCTCGGTGGCAGCATACTTGTCTCCAGAGAACATCGCGTCGATGCACAAGGTGACGAAAGAGGTGCGCCGAGGTGCCACGTCGGTCCGGAGGCAACGGCCCTCTCTCGATCGCCCGCCCCCGCCGCGATCCGCTCCGCAGGTCAAGGGCGAGCCTCAGCTCCTCACGCTTGCCGAGAAGCTGCGCGCAGAGGGCGTAGTGCACAAGCTGTGGGTGGAGCAGCCGGAGAACATCCCGACGGCCATCGCGCTCAAGCCCTATCCGCGCAGCGAGGTGGCGCCATTGCTCAAAAAGTACCAGCTCTTCAGGTGAAGTCGGATCAGCTCATTGCCGGCGGCCGATGCATATCTAAAATCTTATCTAAAAGCGGCCTGCCATGTTGTGTGCGTGGCGCCGTTTCCGCCTTCCGCCCGCCACCGCGGTCGAATTAGCATGTCGGGCAGAACAAAAACGGCCCGTGCGAGGGCGCCGCCGCGCGACACTTTCTCTCAAAGCAGTCCCAATAGGTGCCCGCGCCGCAGACCGCCGGGTCGGGCCAGCAGATTCCCGGGTACTGGCAGTCCACGACGCACCGGTTGCACTCCCAGCGCGTGGTCTCCGCGCACAGCCCCGGGTCCTTGTAACAACCGCTAGAGCACGGCGTCGAGAGCGGCGGTGAGCAGGGATTGGGCGGCGGTGGCTCCGGCAGCAGAGACGCGTTGCGCGGCGGCAGAGGCGGCGAGTTGAGGGGCGACGGCGGCAGCGCGGTCGGCGGCGCGGACGGGCCGAGCGGATGAGTGGGCGGAACTGCTGGCTCGACCCCTTGAAGCGACGGACGGGGCGGCGACGGCGATGGCGGCGGCTGCGGATTGAAGGGTGGAGAGCCGCTCTTCGACGGGGCGGGCGACGGAGATGTCTCGGGTGGGACATACCCGTCGCCACCCAGGAGATCATAGCCACCGTAGACGTGATAGCCGTATCCCAAGTAGCCTCCCAGCCTGCGCCGTGAGGTCGTGCGCTCGAGGTGGTTGGCTGCAAGCATCTGCACCGTCTGGCCGTGCTCCAATCCTGCTAGGGTCGGCTTGTCCGGTCCCGCAAAGTGTAGGGCGATGTAGACGCCCAGGTCTTGGACTCCGCTCGACTCGAGATCGTCTGAGCTTACAAACCCGAGCCCGTCGAGCACGACCTCCTCTCTCCAGCAGCCGACGCTGCCCGCAAAGATCAGGTAGGGGATGCCGAGGCCGCTGGCCAGCGAGTCTGGCGGGAACAGGCGGTGTATTAGGTTGGCCTCGAGCCAGCGCTGGACCCGCCGTACCAGCGCCTGTGCGCGCCAGCGGTCCAGCGGCAACAACGCTACCCCAAAGTTCCACGCCAACTGCTCTCGCAGCGACGAGGGCCTTGCGCGGTTGGTCTCCGACTCGAGGGAGAGCAGGAGCGGTTCCAGTGCAGCTGGCGCGCACGGGCCGCTCGCGTCCGCGCTGCGGCATACAGGGTAGGCCTGCGGCCCAATGGCGCCGATAAAGCTCGTGGCAGAGTAGGTCAATGTCGCCGAGGTCAGATTGAGCCAGCTGCGGTCTCCGAGGCGTGCCAGGTGGTACATGGAGCAGGAGGCCTGAAGAAGCGTGTCCGTCGCGAGCGGCGTGTCGAAAAGCGTTGCGACGTCGTGCTGGACGAGGACGTCGTCGTCAAGGAGCAGCAGCCTGTCGAGCTGTTGCAGCGCAGGCAGCTCTGCCAGGTAGAGGCGGAGCAGGTTGAGGGGGTGGGCGTGCTTTGGGTCGCGACTGGCCGGGAAGGGTCGCAAGGAGGCGTTGGTCCGCCAGCGTGCACTCGGCAGCCAGTCCAGCCAGTCTTGCCACTCCTGCCAAAGCCACACCGGGACAACGCCTCGAGCAACCAGCGACTTCACCGCATGATCAAAGGCAATAACACGCACTGGCAGTCTGGGCATTGCGTCGAGCACAGATGCCTCCGGGATGGTCGTGATGATGACGTATTCGAGTGAGGTTGCCAGCCTCTTTGATGCGTGCACTGACTTGACCAATGCCGTGATTGCAAGCAGTCTGTCGCTCATCACACATACGTGCAGCGGGCTCCGCCGAGGCGCGGTGCCAATCATGTGGCTGCTGCTCGCAGCCAGGCCGGCGAGGAGGATTTGACTCATGCTGTTGTGCGCCCCTAGTTGCTGTAAAATCCAAGTACGACCGTACTCGTAAAGCCGGCGGGAGTTTTTTCGCCAAGTGGAGGGTTCAGGCTCCTTGCCGGATAGGGGGTCTGCGCGGTCCACGTTTGCGTAAGTGGAAATCGATTGTGAGTGTTGTTGGGAAAACCGCCGCCCTCCTTCCTCTACTGTTGTGTGTGGCCTAAAGTCTGGGCAGGTTGTGAGGATCACGATGCCGGCGTGAACACGACTAACTGACGGATCCGCTCCTGACAGTCGCACGCGCCGCAGCTGCGGCGCGTGCGACTGTCTTTGTTTGAAGTTAAAAGTCGAATCAGAGCGCCGTCGGCGCTGATCCTCGTTTTCCTCCCACGGACCGTCCGTCCCACCGTCCGGGACCGCTCCGGGACGCACGCCGGCGAAGCACCATCAAACTGCTGTACGGCCCCGGCATCGCCTTCCCAAGGCTTAGCTAGACTGAGAGATATTGTGGACATGATTGGTCTCTACAATATATACACTGACACTGAACCTCCAAGAGCTCGTCCCGGTCCGTCACGGCCATCCTCGGCCTCCGGAGGGCCCGGCCGCGGCGCGGCGCGGCGGAGTCACAAATCCGACGGCAGAGCACCGGGACGCGGTCGGGCGACTGAGGCCCAACTAGGCGTATGCATTGCCCATCCAGGGCTATCACCTGGACTTATCAACAGGCGCCTGCGGCGCCGTGCTCAGGAGCTGCTGCTCCAACCTGTTCACACTTTCGTACGGGACAGCACGAGTGGCCGCATCACCGGAGGGCGCCTGGGTCTAAATTTAGTGCGTGTGAATGAACTTTAGTGATAGTTTAGTGCGCTATTTAGTGCGTGTTCGAGTGCGTATATAGTGCGACTTTAACGCAAATTTAGTGCAAATTTAGTGCAAATTTAGCACATATTTAGCACATATTTAGTGTGTTTTATCTCCAATTTAGCGCCACATTTAGTTCACTTTAGGTGCGGGCAGCTGCAGTACATTTAGTGTGGGTCCCGCATCTTTAGTGCGGGCACGCACCTTTAGCACGGCTTCCCGGCCACACCACAGCTAGCCAGGGCCGCGTGCTTTGCTCCTTGGCTGCCAAGAATGCACCACAGGAGATGCCTGGCCCCTGCCCTCATGACCCAAAGGCAGGCTCCCAGTGAGGCTAGATATGCCGCCCTCCAGAGCAAGATCTCCCGACTGAGCACAGGCACAGCACCGATTCCCGAGAGGAGGACCAGCACAGTTGAATGCGCCACCGCAAGCACCACCTCCGACCGCACAACCCATGCTGTGCCCGTGACCACCAGCTGTAATAGAGTAGAGGTGAGGGTCGGTGTTGGAATTTCAAAACCAATGTTGAACCAAAGGATGAAGGATCCAGACCACGATGACAGAAACGGCCAAATGGCCATGATCCATGTAGTCACCGCAAGCAGCTTTACATACGCGTGTACTCGTAGCATGTTGGATCCAGCCCCAGGCATGCACCTCCTCCTAAGTGCAATGGCAAATACACCGGGTTTTCTTCGTTCGGTTGGGGACGGGACGGGGAACTTTTGCGAGTGGGCAGGGGACTGCAGGGGGACAGGGGAGGGAGGCCCAGCGAGGGGCTGCGGCTGGATCCTACTGCGCGGCTGGACTAAAGACGCACTAAACCTCGCTAAATCTGGATGTAAAGTCGCACTAAATTTGCGCTAAATTTGCGCTAAATTTGCACTAAAGTTGCGCTAAATTCGCGCTAAATTTGCGCTAAAGTGCGCTAAAGATGCAGTAGATAAACACTTCACACCGCACTAAATTTAGACCCAGGCGCCCTCCATCACCTAAACCCACTCCGAGCCGAGTCCAGGACCAGGCAGAAGCCAGGAGCCGAGTCCAGAACCAGAGGCCGACATGGGTCGCAAGCAGCGCAGCGATGACGAGACGACGCGGCTCTCGAGGAAGATGTCCGCGATACTGCGCCACCGCATCGCCGAGAACGGCCTGAGCGGCGTGCTCCGTCCGGACGGCTACGTCCCGCTCGACAAGCTGCTGGCGACGAATGGCTTCGCCGGCGCGGGCGTGACCGCCGAGCAGGTGCGCGTGGTGGTGGAGACCAACGACAAGCAGCGGTTCAGCATGATGGAGGAGGACGGCGTCACGTACATCCGCGCCAACCAGGGCCACACAAGCACAGGTGTGGAAGCGGAGGCGCTGCTCGACCGTCTCGACGAAGCGGCGGCGCAGCGGCTCGGAGGCGGGCAGGGGCTGGCCGTCCATGGCACCTACTACGGCGCGTGGTCGTCCATCGTCTCATCGGGCGGGCTCAGCCGCATGACGCGCCACCACATCCACCTCGCCGAGGGCCTGCCCGGCGAGGCGGGCGTCATCTCGGGCATGCGCAAGTCTGCAGAGGTGTTTGTGTGGGTCGACGTGCTCCGAGCGATGCGCATGGGCGTAACGTTCTACCTCTCGCAGAACCGTGTGGTGCTCACGCCGGGCCGGGAGGTGGACGGCTTGCTGCCACTCGAGGCGTTTGCAAGCGTCGTTGACCACTCGGGTCGAGTATGGCGCGACGGAGGGTGGCACGCCGCCGACTCATAGAGTACGTGTACGTGTCTCGTAAGCCAGCGGCCAGTGCCAAATAAAATCGATAGCTACAGCGCATCGGGACACGGCGACACGCACACACAGACGTGAGAGAGCGCGCGAGAGAACACATCAAAACACACCAATGGCAGATCTCTCTCTGGAGCCTCCGCCTCGCCCCGCGGCCGCGCGCGGACACAGCAAGAAAAAAGCTCTCAGCGGTGTTTCTCCCACAAGACAATCCCGGGACGAAAAACGAACACACACCAAGCGCTAAGCGAGCATCTGAGCAAAAATTGAGCCCGCTCAGGTGTGTGAACAAAAAATATAAGGGTCGACCAGGTTTCGAACTACTCGATAGCGGTCCCGCCGTAGCTCGCGCATAGAAGCAGGAAGCTAGGCAGAGGCCGCATCGCGTCAGTGGTATACGTTTTACCCAAAACCGAAACCAAAACACGGATCTCCAAACCAAAAAGGGATGAAATCCCTTATGGATATAATCGCCAAATTATCTCAGGAACATAGTGTGAATGCCCGGGAACAGCCCCTCCTGGCCCGAGTGCGGGGCGTGAGGGACAAACAAATTCAGAGGGCATGAAAGTCGTCAAGCTGCTTGATCAGGCCAGTAAAGATGGCGCGCGAGGCAGCCTTCGTGAGCAGGTCGGCGAGCATCACGACGCCGGGGAGGTGTTCGACAGAGATAACACCACGGCTGACGAGATCGCGAAGGAACTCGGCGGCGCGCAAGATGTGCTTGGTCTTCTTGAAGGCAACGGGATCGAAAGCCATGCCGACGGCGGATTTGCTGTCGCAGTTGATGACGCTGGCGCCGTCGATGGAAAATCCAAGGTCGATCAGTATGATAGCTCACGGATGAAAATTACCTCCTTGGCGGCTAGCATGGCGCCAAAGAACTCTGCCTCGGCACTAGACAGCGTGACGGATCGCTGCATTTTGGAGAACCAGTGGAAGAGACATCCGTAGAAGAAGAACATGCTACCGGAGCAAGAGAACTTCGTTGCCCAGTTTGAATCGACGTAGCTCTCAAGGTTGCGGTTGGGGTTCGGCTGCATGACGAGGGCGCGGTCAGCTGTGTCGCGCACGTAGATAAGCACCCGGATGGCGGCTTTAAAATGCGACGGGCCAGGGTTGGTCATGAAGCGAGCAAGCTGAGACGCTGAATAAGCAATGTCGACGCGCGTCATGTTGGCAAGCCACAGTAGTCCGCCGACGATGGCATTTAGGCAGTGCGGAACTCGGACATCTCGTCGTGTTCAACAGATCCAACGGCGGGCTGATCATCGGCGGACAGTTCGAGCCCCTCTTCCATGGACGAGTCGAAGCGGCGTGAGCGGGACCGATCGAAATAGGCGCTGAACTTGGTAACGAGGTCGGCGGCGTAGAGGCCCTAATTGCAAGCTTGATTTGATAGATGAGATTCAGGGCGACGCCCGGTTTCTTTGTGATCACCGCGTTGGCGAGGCGCGAGTCGAATGTCACACCCAGGTCGACCAGCGCCTGCTGCACCTGCCTGAAGTTTTGGATCTTTGCGATTGCCGCCTGCAGCCGTGAGAGGAGCAGTCGTCGGGGGAGATGAGGGGCGCGCCGTCGGTGAGTGACAGCACTAAGGTATCAACAAGCAGATAGACAGGAACGAGCAGCCAGGTGGGGAGGCAGCAGCGGCGCGACCCCTGCCTGCTGGTCCTTGAAGCCTCCGAACGCAGAGTCAGTCATGACGGCGTGTCTGTGGAGGAGCTCGCCAATAAGGTAGCCGTTGGCGAGGTCGTCCTCGAAGCTGCCCACCTGCCGGCTCAGCCCCACATCGTCGTTGAGCCAGCCCCGGAGCAGCTCGGCCGACATAATGTAACGTAGGGGTCGCAAAAAGTAATTTTCTAGAAAACTATGAGAGGTTGAGGTGCGAGCCCATCCCTCCCTTGGGTTGTCCGTTTTCTTTCTTTCTTTTTTTTAGGTGCGAGCCCTGGATGTCAAACCGAGAACGGCGCACCAGAAAAAGTTGGCCGCTCCGTGTATCTCGAGACCTCGAGAGAAGGCCGCCCGCAGGCCTCCCCGAGGGCCCAGGTCAGGAATTGGCTTTCTTTTGGCGGGCAACAGAAAAAGAATTTTCGTGCCATCATTCGACCATGCTGAGTCGCTTGGCGACCTCCCACTCGCGGCGCGCAGACTCCGCCGAAACATCTGGGGAGGTGGGCGGCTGGACGGTCGTCATCGCTGACGGGCACGCGGTGCTGCCCAACGGCATGAAACACCTGCCGGACAAGGGTCAAGGCGTTCAGCAATGTACTGCGCTCGTCTCTGTCGCCTGTCCACGCAGCCTCATTTCCATTGGTGACAATGCTTTTGGTGGCTGCACCTCGCTAACCTCCATCGCCCTCCCCACCGGCCTCACGCGTATCGGCGATTTTGCCTTCGGCAAGTGCTCCCTAACCTGCATCGGCTTCCCTGCCCACCTCGCCTTCATTGGCAACGGCGCCTTCTTCCGCTGCCGCGCCCTCACCTCAGTGACCCTCCCCGCCGGCCTCACCTCCATTGGCGCGCGCGCCTTTTACGGCTGCTCCTCTCTCACCGCCGTCAAACTCCCCGCTGGAATCGCCTCCATTGGCGTGGCAGCATTCTACCGCTCCTCCCTGCCCCGCGTCATCGTGCCAACCACCGCCGAGATCGCCGACGACGCCTTTCCCTCCTCCGTCACCACACCGTCCTCCGTCGCACGCCCGCAAAGATGCGCTGGTACGAGGCGGTGAGTGCGGCTCTCGCCTACAAGCGCTGCCGCCCCGGCCTGATCCTGTGGCTGGAGCGGGCCAACATCAGGCTCTCGGCTCTTACGGCCAGGACGGCGCGGCGCGCAAGCGCGACCGCGAGGAGTTCGAAGGCGACTTTGGGCAGCCGTGCGCATCTCCAGTGCTTGACACGAAAGGCAGCCGCGCCGCTCCAGGCAAGACGTGTATTGCCCGCGGCGCGCGAGACCGTGCTGAGCCCTGGTCTGACAGTAGTCGGCCGACAACAGTCTGACAGCTCAGAGACCGTTGTGCCTTTTGTTTTTTTCGCTCTCCGCTTTAGGTGCCCAAAATTCTTTTTGGTGTACCTGTGTGTGTTAGTGGAATAGTGCCAGTGCGCGCCAGTCCTGTGCCTAGTCCTGCCTAGTGGCTAGTGAAAGAAAGAAAGAAAACAGACAAGACCCAAACGAGGGATGGGACGAGGACAGGGTCCCCACCTGCACGAGCAGGATTTTGGAAGGACGATCAGGGACACAGGGGAACCAACGGGAGTCAAGGGAGTGCGGGAGTGGGGATCGCATCGCGACACTGAGGGGGGCTGGGCAGGGTTCACCCCCACCCCCACACCCCCTATAGTATCGACCTATAGTAGTAGTAGGGTGCTAGGCAGGGTGAGAAATGAAAAATCCAGGGATTCCCCTCTCGTATAGGACAAAGTTGCACCGTGCCTAGTTTTTTTTTTTTAGAAAACAGACTACAACCCAAGGGAGGGATGGGAGACGGCACGCCGCCAGCACAAACCCGTGCCTAGTGTGGTGCGCGGCTAAGAAAGTTCTTTTTTGGTGTACCTGTGTGTGCGCCAGGGTTCGGACTTTTTGCGGGGTATGGTATGGTAGGCTCACGCAACCCACCTCGAGACCATACCCCCCCGCCTGCTGACAGACCCAGCCTCCCTAGGCAGCAGGCGGTCAGGACCATACCCCCCCACCCTTTGGGCCGTGAGAGTACGTTTCGAGTACCATACCCCGGAAAAAGTTGGAACCCATTTCGTGCGAGGCACAAGATCAGACTCTTGCGCGCTTTTGCTGCTTTGACGCGCCTGCGATGATCAAGTCATGTGCCGTTCTTGCCGTCGCCATCCTTGCAGGCACGATGCCCAAGAACATGCGGCCTCCGGAGGGCGTCGAGAGCTGGCTCATGTGAGCGCTGCCTAACATCTCGCACATGTGATATCTTTGAAGTCTTTCACACTGCGCGCGCATGCAGGTTTGACGGGGTCTGCAACCTCTGCGACGGCTTCGTCAACTTTGTAGCGGACCACGACTCTGACAGACTCGTTAAGTTTGGGGCGCAGCAAAAGCACATGGAGCTGCTCAAGCGCGCCGGCGCGCCGACCGACCTCTCGACCCTCGTGCTCATCCAGGGAGATCGACACTATGTGTACAGCGACGCCGCGCTGCGGACCATGGCTGTGCTGGACTGGCCCTGGCGTGGGCTCGCTGCGTTTGCGCTCGTGCCGTCGCCGGTGCGGGATGCGTGCTACAAGTTCGTGGCGAGGTACAGATACCTGGTGTTTGGGAAGACCGAGTCGTGCCGCGTGCCGACCGGCGACTTCCGGCGCCGCTTCATCGACTACCGTCCAGAGGAGGAGGAGGCTGATCCCATCTCGTCCACGTGACGCCCGGGTGAGCCCAGGGCTCTGTCGCTCGCAGCGCGCGAGAGACACCAAACAGTAATATTAGCCACGATGTTGCGTCGCCTCTTGCGCGTCTCGCTGTGCTGCCGCTCGAAGGCGATGATCGCCCGGCGGTATCAGTGCCATGCTTCAAGGACGTGTTGCGGTTTATATTTGTGCGTGCACGTCTTGTGTTATAGGACGATCTCCGGTCTCTCCCTCTCGGACGTCATGGTCATGCTCATGCGTCATGGCTCACGTGTGGGGAGACGGGAGTGTGACTGTGAGAGAGATAGAAGCGAGAACCTGCTGACTCTCAGGTCCTCAGAGATATTTGCTATTAGCCCCGAACGTGTGGATAACGACCGCAGTATCCACGAATGCATATAAGCCATACTAGTACATGTACTCGGAGTAACTCCACCTCCCCCCCTGTCAGATATAGATGCACACATGCCAACAAACACGTGACCGGCACCGGCCACCGCATCCGACCCTCTCCCGTCTTCGCCTCTCGAAGCATCCGCGAATCACCGCGGGACCGGGCATGTACAGTGTCCAAACGAGTGCTGTGCGGCGCGGCGGCGGCCGCTGCCCTGGCCTTGGCGGCGCTTCCCGCTCGCTTCCCGCTCTCAGCGCGCTCTCAGCCGCGGCGCCGTCGCTTCCCGCCGCGGGACGGCGCCCCCTTCTCCTCCGCCACGGCGGTGGCGTAGCGGCGCGCCACCTCGGCCGCGCCTGGCATCGCCGGTGGGGCTCGAGCGGATCGGGCGCCGCTGCGCCCGCGCCCGCGCCCGCGCGGCAATGCGGCGGCCGCGGCGCGGTACGCGGCCCGTGCAGCGAGGGCGGCGCGCCCTGCCGGCGGCACGTCCTCGGAGCTCAGGAGGCGCTCAGGGTCGGCTTCGGCCAGCCAGCCTACTCAGATAATGTGTGCGATGGGGGCAGGCGCCTCCTGTCGCGGTTGGCGGGAATTCTAGCTGACCGGCGGGGGGCGCGAAGGGGGCGCCGGAGAGGGTGACGACGGCGAGCGGCAGCTGGTGCTCCGGCTTGTTGATGACTGACACTCCTGGAGGCGAGGGCGAAGGCGAGGGTGGGGCAGGGCAATGGGGCAAGGGCATCAGGGAGAAAGACGAGGCCGCGCTCCTTGCCCGTGCGCACCCGGCTGGTCCGCGGTGAGCCCGCTCCGGTCGAGCAGGACGGCGAAGACGAGCATGTGCCGCCCGCCCTTGCAGTAGCCGTGCGACACCGCCATGGAGTGGCCAAAGTACTCTCCGGGGCCCATCGCCTGTCAGAGAGCCAGCAGAGGGGCGTCGCGAGCGGTGGGGTCCTCCGGCCGCCTCCGGCTCCAGCCGAGGGGCGCGCCTGCCCGGCGCGCCGGCGCGGGTCGAGGCCCTCGCGGCAGATGGCGGCCATGTTCGCCTCGGCAGAGCCGTGGAAAGCGAGCCGCATCGACTTGTCCGGCACCGCCGACCACGCCGCGACGAAACGCTCGTACAGCGGCCGGCCCGGCAGCGAGCGGGGGTTGTGCCACACAGCGAGGCCCTCGGAGCGGCTGCGCTGCGTGGCGAGAGCCTGCGCGGCTTGTGCCGACTGCAGGCTCTGCAGCGCCTTGGCCTGCGACGCCTGCGCCGCCTGCAGCGCCTCCTGCGCCGACTCGGCTCGCGGTGGCGGCTGCCCTCGCGCCTGCTGCCAGCCCGCCGGCACGGGGAGGCCGGCGTACGCCAGGGCGGAGGCTGCAGCGCCAACGACGGAGCCGCCGTAGTACGCTGGGGCTGCACCGCCGCCGCCGTAGCCGCCGCCGTAGCCGCCGCCGTAGCCGCCGCCGTAGCCGCCGCCGCCGCCAGTGACCGCCACGAGGGCCTGTTGGACCTGCGTGGCGAGTGAGGGGGGGGACAGGCCGTGCTGAGGAGCGTGCTCAATAGGGGCCGTGCCGCACGAACACGACGTGCAAAGACGGCGGCCTCGGGCGGAGGTGGGGCTACGTGGTCCTGCCCGCTCGACCTGCTGCGACGCGATGGTGTACGCCTGCTGCGCCTGCAACATTTCGGCAGAGGGCTGCATCGCGACCGCAGCCTGCACGCTCTGCCGGCCGTGCTCGCTCCGGTTGACGAGCTCCTCGATTGACTTGCGCTGCTCGGCGAGCAGGTCCAGGTCGTCGGCGGTGAGGTCCACCTATGCGGCGCGAGGGGAACAGAGATTACCGTCTGGGCGTGCCAGGGTTGCAGGGGCGTGACGGGATTGCAGCGGGGGTCGTTCTACGGTAGTCCACCTGCTCTGCCGCCGCCTGCTCCGCCGCCGCGCCCTGGCGGTTGCGCGCCAGCCGCCGTTCGCGACGCAGCCGCTGCCGCGCGCGGAGTCGGGGGTGGGAGAAAGGGGAGCGGGGGGGGGGGGGGGTGATGCCTGGAAGGGGGGGAGGGGGGGAAGGGGGAGTGCAAGAGCGAGAGCGAGAGGGAGGAGGGGAGATGTGTTGTGTGTGTGTGTGTGTGGTGGTCAGCGAGGCACCTGCCGTTCAGTGAGGGCGGAGAAGGTGAGGTCGGCCGAGGGCTGTGCGATCCGCGCGCCGAGCAGGCGCGCGACAGAGGCGTCGTCGCCGCTCAAGTCGATCGTCACCACGGCCTTTGAGGAGGAGGGCACGCCGCCGGAGCTTCCAGCCGCGCCTCCGCCGTCGCCTCCTCCTCGCCCGCTCCCATCATCCTCGTCGTCGTCCGCAACCAGCAAGTCAATGACCACCGCGACGTCTCCGCCGCCCGCTCCTCCTCCAGAGGGCGCGCCCTCCTCGTCGTCGCTGCTGATGACCACGTCTGGCCGCACGCGAGCCGACGACACTGGCGCCGCCGCCTCGCCTCCTGCAGTCTCGTCGTCACTGTCGAGTACTACCGTCGTGATGGTCGCGGCGGGGGGCCTGGTCTCCGCGCGGCTTGCGGAGGCGGAGGCGGCGGCGGCGGCAGCAGCAGAAGCGGTGGAGGCGGAGGAGGCAGTGGAGGCGGAGGTGGCGGCGGGCGCGGCGGCGGGCGCGGCGGGAGTGGCCTCTCCGGCTGGGGCGGCGGTCCCCGTGATCCGCACGAGCACTGGGTGTTGCGGCTCTCCCGCCGGATCTGCCGAGAGCCACACAGTCGCTCCATCCTGGAGAGGCACCGGCTTGCCGAGCTCAAGCCGCTCCGGCAACGTGTCACCTGGCTTTGCGATAAAGGACCGGCCCTTGCCGACGCACGTGAGTACCCATCCATCCGCGGCCGTGTCCACCGCCGAGATACGGCATTGCGCACGAGACATTCGCGAGTCGGCGGCGGAGATGTGGCTGCGCCCAATCGAACCGTCCTGCGGAAGGGAGACGGAGCTGCCGTCCGTTGTCGTGAGCTCTTGGCGTTTGACGTCCCAGACTGGTGCCATCTCTCGCTGGCCGCTCGCGCGCGCAGGTCGCAAGTGCGTCCACTCCGACAGTATGAATGGTTGGGCAAGTGTGAACAGCAGGGCCAGGTGATAGGCATACGCCTAATTGGGCCTCAGATCGCCCGACCGCGTCCCGGTGCTCTGTGGTCGGATTTGTGACGCCGCCGCACCGCGCCGCGGCCGGGGGGCCTCCGGAGGCCGAGGATGGCCGTGGCGGACCGGGACGAGCTCTGGTTCAGTGTCAGTGTATACATTGTAAGAGACTGACCATGTGCACAATATCTCTCAGTCTAGCTAAGCCAGGGGAGGCGATTCCAGGGCCGTACAGCAGCTTGATGGTGCTTCGCCGGCGTGCGTCCCGGAGTCCTAGCAGAGAAAAAAATTTGCTTTACGGCCACATCGACGCTCCGGCGCAATTCGTCTCTTTCGTAGCGGCCGGTGAGCCTCGCCCTGTGGGTTGACGTGCGGCACGTACACAGCCGTCACCCCAGAGCTCCGAGTGGCGAGTGGCGAGTGACGAGTCCGGTCTCGAACTTGTCGCCGATTCAATATCGAGTTCAAGGAAGCACCCTTGCCCTTGAAGCTTGGGCCTTGGCTTCCGCCATATTTGGTTTTAGCCATTTTTTGCTATTTGTATTTTTATGAGAAAATGACACTCATTCCTCCACTCTCGGTGAGTTGTCGTCCGTGCCGGTGCCCGGTCCTGCCTGCCCTCGAATGCGCCACAGGCGGAGAGGCCCCGTCGCCTCCACATCCGTCGCGCTGCCGGGCGGGAGCATGGTGGCGAGGCGCGCCTACTCAGCACGGCGACGCATGCCTGCTTACCCCGGTACCATCTCACGTGTGAAAGAGGCGCAATGCTGGCAGCGCGGGCGAGGCAGGGCGAAGCAGGCCACCTCGCTCAGCGGCTCGGAGACGGCCAGACCTCGCGCCTCGCACAGCGCGCGGAAGTGCGCCTCCCTCCGCCGGTCGCGCACGCGGAAGCAGCAGAGGGCGAAGGAGCAGCGCGCGGCGAGTGCGAGGCGGACGGTCTCCGCGAGCGGCTCGAGTGTGTCCGGCTCAAACAGCGAACTGCCGCGAAAATAGAGGAGATCGGCCAACAGGACGAGCGACGCGCCACCGCCACCGCCGTCACTCTGCGGAGGCGGCGCGCCGCCCCAGATGAGCGGCGTTGCGCGCAGCATTGGACAGCCGCTCTCGGCGAAGGCGGCTGCCTGCGGACGTGGGAGACGCGAGTGGGGGAGGAGTGGGGGAGCGAAGGACGAATGATCTGGAACTGTGCGCTCGCCATCGCGGAGACTCGGCACGGAAGATCAGTCGCGAGGTAGCGGGCGGAGCGCCACTGTGCCGCGAGCGCGATAGCCATCGCGCCAGTGCCGGCGCCCAGCTCGAGCACCTTGAGTTGAGCAACGACGCAGGAGCTCCTGACGCTGTCGGTCAAACCGAGCTGGGTCGTGTGGTAAAGTGACCCGACCCTGCCCAGATCGAGGCTCGCGCACCTCGTCAGGAGGGTACGCCACGAGCGGAGGCCAGACAGCTCTGATGGCGGCGCTGTCTGTCAGCACGAGCCGCAGCAGGCGGCCGCTGTCCCAGTCGCGGACCATACCCCCCCCGCCTGCTGACAGACCCAGCCTCCCGGAGACCGGGGATGGGCGGTCAGGACCATACCCCCCCACCCTTTGGGCCGCGAGGGTACCATACCCCGCAAAAAGTTGGAACCCTGGCGAGTAGAGACCACGCCTCACTTTTTCACACCGGGGGTCCGTCGGAAAAAGCATGCTTTTCGGATGCTTTTCGCTGCGCATGCTCGAGCCCCCGGCGAGGGCTTGTGCTGTGAATAGCAGGTGGTCTCTACTCGCGCACAACCGAAAATGGGTTCGGGTTCCCGTGGGTTCGGGCCCGGCTAAATACAAGCCTGTAGCGAGGGCTGGGGCGACGAGTGCGGAGCCTTCTGTGCGCGTGGCGGGGGCGGCGGGATGGCTGCTGTCGATTATCACCAGCCATGCTCCGGAAGACTGCTGGGCTGGCTGCAATCGCTGTGCTCCAGCCACATAGTAGATGGCTGCAATGGATGGCTGTGGCCCAGCCATCTTACCCAAAATGGCTGCGATATAGCCAGCTCAGCCATGAGGGCCCGCCCCGGGGCGTGCGGTATGGATGGCTGCAGCAGCGAGCTTCCAGCCATCCCTACTCAGGATGGCTGCCCTGTGTGTCAGCTGTGTGTATGTATTGCAGCCATCGGCCTGGGGAGGCTATGGCTGCACTGGCTAGCTCAGCCATCCTTAGATAAGATGGCTGTGTAAGATAGTGTGCTTACATTCCGAGGTTAGCCCAGAGTGCCCCGCAACAGGTAGATCTATTAGGAAAGAAAGAAGAAAACAGACAACCCAAGGGAGGGATGGGGAGCCACATTACATTAGGTAGGTGCACAGGTGTACACCTTGTACCGACACAGAGGTAGGCGCGCAGCGCCCACACCCTCTACCTAGGTGTGTGAGTGAGTGCTATACACCTTAGCGCACCTTATACGAGGTACCCTCCACATGTCCACACCGGTACCTGGGGTACTCTCGAGACGTTCACACCGGCGGTGGGCGCGATTAAGGGTGCACCGCCCGTCGCGCGAAACGAACAGCCTCGGCCTCGTGCCGCCAGAGCCAAGAAGCCCACCTCCACGCAGAACACGACGCTCCAGACCCCGGGCATGGACGTGATCAAGAGCAGTACCCGGGCCCGCTGTGACAGTCTCGAGGGCCGTCAAGCTAGCGTCAAGACCGGCTCCCGGGCAAGCACTCTTCCCGCACCTCACCGGCGCGGAGCAGAACGCGTCGTACGCGGGCACGGCCGTCGAGTTCACGGTGAAGTACGGCAACGTCTCCGCCCCCTCGGCTGCACCGTCCTCCAACTCGCCGGACCCCCATCGAGCTCCGACGCTGCCGCTTCGGCTGCGCCATCCTCGGGCTCGGCCAGGCCGCCGACCCACCCTCCGCCGACCCGCTCAGTGACGTCGACATGTCGCTGCTCCAACGTGCCGGTGTTCCCCAGAACACGCCATTATGCTGCAGGTGCTATGACTTAGTAGCGTGTCGGGCGGGGCCGTCGGGAGGGAGCGAGCGTGTGTCCGGCGAGGCGCCCACATACTACCTCTATCTAAGTGTGCCGGCCAGCGCCCACACCGGCACCGGGGGTAGGGTCAGAGGGACTGCACCCAAGGTGTTGAGGTGAGCACCTAATGCAGTGTGGGATGGGAGGACGGCACGCCGCCATCACACAGGGATTTTAAGGAGAGGAGTGTGGTGCTAGCCGTCGCCCACCCTAGGGAGTCTGCCTCTTCCTATCTCTCTTCGCAGTCCCTCGCCGATTCTCGCTGCAACCTTCATGCCACCTCGCGGTCGTCCCACTCTCGAATGTTCTCCCTCCTGTCGCTTCATCCTCTGTCGCGTCGCTCTCCCTGCCTCGTTCTGCTGCGCCGCAGCCCGCCGATCCCTTGCTCTCGCGGCTTCCTAGCTTCTTCTCGGCGCAACTCCGCCCTCCTTGCGGCGTATTTTATGGCCCCTCGAGTTTATCAAGCTCTCCTCGCGCAAGGACGGCTCTTCTGACACCCACCCCGGCGGGGGCTCGCGAGCGGTGCTGCACGCGCGGTACAAGTGCCTGCGGCGCGGCCCGCAGCTGCGTTTGCGTTTGGCCGCGATTTTTCTTTCTTTTAATAATCTTTTGTCTGCTGGGGGGGGCTCGACAGCTACTTCTTGGTTTTTGACTTGTTTGAGAATATAATAAACGTGTCACCTGACCAACGTGTCACATCGCAGGCCCATGACCCAGTTTTCTGATGCGTGTGTTCACGGAGTGTCAGAGTTGGAGGGATAATGGATCACGGCAGTAGTGCCCACTCTCTCGAGCTCCGCGGCTCTCATACAGCCCCGCTCTCGTCGGAACTGTCTCCTCAAGACGCAAAATGTGGCTCGACCTCCACCACGGTGAATGTGTGGCCCTGCACGCAGATGGTCTCGCGCAACGACGTCGGCACCAGAAAGGTGAGGGGCGGGAAGCATACCTCCGCCTCGCCGGGGAAGGCGGAGCACCACGCAAGGTCGGCGCCGCGCTCCATGAAGCTCGTCGTCTTGAGCTTGAGCAGCAGCGGCCGGTCGGACGCCTACGTCCCACACGATCGCCCGAGGTCGGCCGGGAGATGTCTTCCTGAGAGTGAGAGGCGGCAGCGGGTGAGGCAGCAGCGGGTCGCGCACCGAGTACCGCACGGCAACGTCCAGGCAGCGCGTCGTCGACATCGGCGCCTGCTCCGTGCCGCCTCTGGCCATGAACTCGCCCGTGACGTGCAGGTCGCGCATGCCGCGCCACAAGTCGATGGAGCGATACGCATCGTCGGCCCGCGCGGAGACGGCGCGCAGCCGCTTGAGGCCTTCGTTGATGAAGGCGACGGTCACGGCGAGCGGGTGCGGGCCCGCGCGCGCCTCGTCGCGCAGCGGGTTGTTGATCGAGCGGTAGGCTGCGGTGGAGTAGAGGCGCAGCGCCAGCACGTGCGCCGGGGAGAGGTCGGCCTCGCGCGCCTCTGGCCTGTCGACGAAGTGGGAGAAGGGGAGGCCCGGCTCGCGGCCCTCGTCGAGGACTCCGTTCGCCCAGCGGCGCCCGTTGCTGCCCGAAGTGCCTCGCAAGATGTACTCGAGGCACTCGAGATCGTCGGACGAGCCCGCCGCTTCGAACTCGGCGACGATGGCGTGTACGCCGCGCGAGAGTCCGGCGTACAGCTCCTCGTCGCTGACCCCGAGGAAGCGGTGCACGCCTGCGGGGGAGAGTACTATAGTCCAGCTACAGTCCTGACTGCAGAGGGCTGCAGTAGAGGGACAGAGAGGCGTCGCGGAGGGCCGGAGAGGAGGAGGGGGAGAGAGGGGGGCGACAGACCGAGGGAGTGAGAGGGGGGAGAGGGAGAGGGTGCGGTGCACACCGAGCGCCGCTCGGACAGGCTCGCCCATCAGCAGCTCCTGACCCGTGAATCGGCTGCCCGCACCCGGAGCAGCAGCCGGTGCTCCTGGAGCGGCCGTTCTCCCTCCGCCCGTGCGGAGCGCGACCCGACCTGTCGCCACAGGCTTCTCCCCCGTCCCTGGCTCGCCCCTCGTCCCCTCCCCCTCCCCCTCCTCCCCCTCTGTGGCTGGCTGCCCCCCCGCCACCACCACAGCCTCCTCCTCCTCCTCCTCCTCCTCCTCCTCCTCCTCCTCCTCCTCCTCCTCCTTCTCTGAGACAGCCACCACCACCCCGCCACCCTCATCCCCCGCCCTCCCTCCCGCCCGCCCGCCCCCGCCGCAGAGTTTGCGCAACAAGCCGCCCTCATCGTCCTCCGCCGGGGGCGCGGGGAGCGCCGCCCGCAGCGCAGTCTCGAGGTCGACGAGCTCGCCTGATCTCGGGGTGATCTCGGGGTGATCTCGCGGCGAGCTCGGGGTCAACTCGGGGCGATCTCGTGATGATCGCATCTAGATGATCTCATCTCTAGATCTCGGGGAGAGGTGAGAGAGTGGTCAATGGGGCCGTCCGCGCTCGCCGTCCTCGCGCCGTATGTACATGCGGAAGCAGCGAGGGCCGACCGAGCAGATGCGGTAGAGCGAGCGCGCGGCGGCGGCGGTCACCTATTCTCCGAGATTGACCGAGATTGACCGAGACTGTCCGGCGAGCGAGCGGGCGGGCGGAGGCGATCACGTAGATGGGAGGGCAGCAGCAGAGGAGGAGGAGGAGGTTGGGGCCGATCTGCGGCGGAAGGCTCAACATGTCGCACCCTCTAGGCTGGGGGAGAAGGCCGGAGGGGCCAGCTGCTCGCACGCAACGCGGTGGCAGCGGATCTTGTGGGTGGTGAGGGGTGGTTGGGTGGTGGTTTGGGTGGTTGGTTTGGTGTGTGTGTGGGGGGGGGGGGCTGCACCACGGAGAAGATCACCCCCGCCTTGGAGAGATTCTCCATGGTCCTGTCCCCGCCGTCAGTGCCGGCTGCTGCTCCTGCTGCTGCGTTGTCGCCCTCCTCGTCGTCCAGGTCGTCGTGGTAGAGCTTGACCTGCGAAGCGACAAGACAAGGGCAGCACCGTGAAGGTGTCTGAAGGAGGGACGTGCCAACGCCTCGTGGCCGCGAAGGTGCCGCTTTGGAGGGGGGGGGTTAGGGGGGGGGGGGGGGTCCGATCCCGCATCTAGCGACGCCGGCCAGCGAGTAGGCGTAAATGGCGGCCCCCCAAAAGACTGTGGGGCAAAAGACGTGGTACCCTGCGGCAGTCGGCAAAGGGGAGTGTGAGGCAAAAGTGTGTCGGGCGGAGGCGGTAGCGGGCTGGGCGGTGGCGGGCTGGGCGGAGGAGGGGGCGTGGGATGGGCGGAGGAGGGGGGCGTGGGATGGGCGGAGGAGGGGGGCGTGGGATGGGAGGAGGGGTGGGGCGTGGGATGGGAGGAGGGGTGGGCGTGGGATGGGAGGAGGAGGGGGGCGTGGGATGGGAGGAGGGGTGGGGCGTGGCCATGGGGGCGTGCACACGCCAAAGAGGCAGAGCTCCCACCGCGCAGCTCGCCGCGCCACCGGGAGGTTGTAGAGCAGCCCGCCGCGGCGGTACCCCTCGCTAGGGCAGCAGCGGCGCCAGCAGCGGTTCCAGCACCCTCCCTTCCCGCCGATGCTGCCTGTTCGCTCACACGAGTCCGGGGGTCAGGCCGGTTGGCACGGCGGTACGTCATCACTCGCCCGAGAGAATGGTCGCTGCCGAAGGCGACGAGCAAGGCCGTGATCTTCGGCCGCAAGAACCTACACGAAAGAGAAGTGGACGCGTCTCCGAATGCGGCGGCTGAAGCCTCGGCGGACGGAGGACATGGTCGACATTCCTCAAGTGCGAGACTCCAAGCGCTGCAGGGGAGAGTGTGTGGCGGCTGCTGTTGGTGTCCCACGCATCTAAGGGCCACGAGCAGGACAGGCATGATGAGGAGCGGGCTGTACATGCTGCTGATGATCTGAGGAGGAGCAGGAGGAGGCGGTGGAGGCCAGGAGGGTGAGAAGCGCCGCAGCCCGTGTCGGCGGGTGGCGGAGCCTCACCCACAGGACTGTCTGGCAGCCGAGAAAGTACTTGACCGTTTCCGCCGACTCGTCCGCCTGCTGCCGCCACGAGTACGCCGGCGGCGTCTTGAGCGCCGCGAGGAAGGAGCCGCAGCAGCCGAGTGCCGGCGCCTCGTCGTTACCCGACAGCCCGATGCCGCCTGATGGCCTGGTGAGCCCCTCCTGCTCCTGCTCCTTTGCACGGCGCGGCAGCGGACGGCGTTTGTCCTATTTGAATAAGACACCATGAGGAGGCGCTGTCTGCGGGTCGCACTGCGCCACTCCGCACAATGTACGTTCCGCATGACCGCAAGCAGAATGCAGCACGAGAGGGCCGTGACACAGCACGCAACGACGCCGACGATGGCAAGGAGCTTCGGGCCGAGCTCGAGAGCGGCTGCAGCGCTCATTTCACGAGCCGCGGTGGGAGCAAAGGAGTCGTTCTATGAGGCTTCGCGAGCACCAACGAGCGGAGATCGCGGGGACTGCGATTCGGCAGCAGAGCAAGGAGTCGAGTCTCCCGGTCCGCTTTTGGGTGAGGCGCTGTGGGAAGACCGCCCGCGAGACGTGAAAGAAAGTATTATGCCGCTTACGTGCTCCGAGTAGAGGGGGCGTTCTGCTGCTAGGGGAAACCTGGAGCGCGGTACTAACCCTCGGAGACCTGTGTTTACTTTATGGCCCTTTCCCTGCGAACGCGCACCCCCCAGGTAGGGTTGTCAAACGTTAATTTGGAAGAGAAGAAGTCTAATTTGGGGCCTAACAGTTGCGCTATTGTTGGCTGAAATCCTCAACGTTGTTCAAGTGTTCATCCCAGCCCATGCTGTTACTGTTTGTTACTGTTGTTACTGTTGTTCAGCGGCCAGCAAGCAGAAAATGACAAAAAACCCGGGTAAAACCCGAAAATACCTGGGATTTTTCGGGTATTTTCGGGTATTACCCGCACTGGACACTAGAGATCATCGTGGGTCACTGCCAGGCCTTCCTTACTGTTGTTCAGTCGGCCTAACGTTAGCTACTGTTGTTGGGGAGCCCCACTGTTGTTCTGTTGTTACTGTTAACACTAGCAACACTTGTGGAGGTGTGACCAGCCAGGTGACCAGGTGACCAGGTGACCACCCCTGGAACTTTGATCTCAGGAGACTCCAAGGTGACCAGGTGACCAGGTGACCAGGTGACCACCCCTGGAACTTTGATCTCAGGCTCTCATACCCCCTTCCCCCCTGTATACATACAAAAAAAACTATAATTTAATTTATAATATGGTCACATATGGTCACTTGGGTACGCTCTGAGGGGTCCTGAGATCAAAGTTCCAGGGGTGGTCACCTGGTCACCTGGTCACCTGGTCACCTTGGAGTCTCCTGAGGTCAAAGTTGCAGGGGTTGTCACCTTGTCACCTTGTCACCTGGTCATTTCTTTTTGGCTTTCGCGCCCAGTCTAGACGTTGCCGTTGGTCAAACTTAAGTTTGACCAACGGCGCAATGGTGAGGAGGATTGTGATCAGCAGCGACGACGACCGCAGCAGTGGCAGCGATTATGGGTGCGGTGGCAGCGAATATGGGTTGACAAATGACAAACCGGACCCGAATCCAAACAGGGCGAACGCCTCTCACCGCTCGGTCAGCGAGACCTCGAGCAAGAAGATTGAGATGCCGGGCGACCCGAAGCTGCTGAGCATGCTGCAAACTTCAGCGAAATCGTTCGCAGGGTGGGGTGGCGAGCTTCCTTACATCGTCGTCGACTATGGCGAGGGCATGCGCTCGCTAATGTCATATCAGTTCTACCCTGAGGGGCAAGGCGCTTCCGTGTGGGGCAAGGGCGCAGGACCCTTTCAACAGACCATCCAACTCGCCGCGAAGACCTTCCCCGCGTTTGACCCGTCGAAGACAGGCTGGGAGCTGCCAACGTCCAAGATCAACCCACTGTACACCTATGTGGAGCGGTCCGGCCCTCTCGTGGGCGTGCCGATCGTGTCAGAGATCGAGTGGTACGACATGTGCGACTCATACCCCGACGGAGTCGTGCCCTTCATGGACATGCTCTTCAACGTCGTCACCGGCCAGGAGTACCTGCTCCCTGAGGCGCAAGGCGAGCTGCTCTTCAAGAGGGCGAGGACGAGTATGCTATGCTACGTGACGACGCGGCACAAGTTCAACGCGCCCACCCCGGAGGAGTGGCAGGCGGCTGCGGCGTCAGCGTGGCGCGTGCGCGTGGACAGGATGTTTGCGCAGGTGTTCGTCGACGACGGGCAGCGCGAGGAGGTGATGTGGTCACTTGCCGTCTTCCTCTTCAAGCGGTACAATCCGCTGCGCCGCCTACTTGTGTTGCACGGCGGCACGGGCGCGGGCAAGTCCTTCTCCCAAAACGTCTTGTGGGAAACCTACAAACACATCGGATGGGTGAGCACGTACGCCGGCGCCGCCTTCTCCACGCATGAGGCTCCGTCGGCGAACGCGCCCACACACATGCTCAACAAGTGCAAGTGGAAGCGGCTCGTCTTCCTCTCGGAGTCAGACGCGTCGGGCATGCTCTCCGGTCCGACCGTCAAGGCCTACACCGGCAACGACCCAATCCCGCACCGCAAGTGCCACAACGACGCGGGGGCAGAGTTGAAGCCGACTGCGAGCTTTGTGCAGCTGACCAACACGCACGTGTCGGTTGACGTGGCAGGCGAGGCTGAGCTCGGCCGCATCGTATGCGTCAAGATGTTGAGCTCCTTCCTCCCACCCGCGTTGGTGGAGAAGGCGAAGGCCGGCGAGCCGGTGAAGCTGCGCAACGGCGCGGAGAAAGTGGTCGACCCGACCAAGGTCTTCCCCGAGGAAGAGGAGCCGTTTGCGGAGGCCAAGGAGAACGGCACGGAGCGCGAGTTGGTGATCGCCGTCACGCGGTGCATGGCAGACCATCTCGCCGCGTACGAGTGCACGGCGCGGCTCAGCAAGTGTGTCGCTCCCTACTTCTCCAAGGCCATCGACGACCCCACCTACCGCGACTCCGTCAACTGGGCGGAGGTGACGCAGGGACTTTGCGCCTCGTTCGCCGAGGTGCAGGCGCAGCTGTCCGAAAACGGCGACGTCTTTCCACGCGCGGACATCGATTACGTCGGGCCG